AGATCGATCGGTATGTAATCCTGATCGTAGAAGGAGCGCGACATCGTATATTCTATCAACAGCGGCAACGGCGACGACGGCGACAGCGGCGGCGAAGGGGTCGAAATTAGTCGACCTCCTTGTCCGAGAGAGCCGGTTCTTCTGGAGGGAAACGGAACAATGCCAATGCTATTTCGGTCGATGATCGAACGAGACGAGCAGCGTGGCCACGGTCGGAGAAAAGCGTGCCACCGGATCTGAAAAGCCCCCGCAACTCTCGTTTCGCCGACCGAATTAGACGGCAAAATCCTCAGAACCTGGAACTCGGCTGTTGTCGCAGAAAAACGGGACATTAGTCCCACAGGACTATCGCGAACGAATCCTTGTAGCTCCACCTGGCGTGAAGCGTGCAGCTATATGACCGTGATCTCGTTTCGTGACTTCGCGGAGTCCTTAATACGCGAACTCCTCTCTCTTTGCTCTCTGTTGCTTCTTTTATTTTAACTTCAACGCGCGCGACCCAAATTGCATCGTTGCATCTTCGCAAACTCGTTTTTGTCTCTCATTTTTACCCGCGAGTAAGTATATATTTGTAATTGTGACTCCGTATATTCCGTTGCGTTATCGCACTGTTTCTTTTCTTGCATAACGATGTAGCGCAGTTTTTTTTTTGTATTTTCATGCCAAGCAAATCTTATCTTTCTTTTTATTAACAAATCTTCTTACTCGAACTGTTAATGCAAATGGTTGTTTGCGTTTTTAAGTCCACGTAAAAGTTTATATTTTCATTCTAAATATTCTTCACGGACGTTAAAAAAAAAAATAACGATTCGCTGAAGTTATTTTTTGCACTCGAGACTATTTGTTTCAGTCACTCAAAGTGTTGCGAGTAATTAATAGTGAGAGACCCGGCCTGACCGATCGAGAGACGAGCTCTCTGGCAACCAGGAAGTGGTCAAGTGCAAAGACCTAGCTAGAATGTCTGGCGTTCGAGACGTGCAACCCTTTGCCATCACGTGACGCTCTACGACTATTAGGGTGTCACTGGCTTTCTAATTATTTTCGTTAGACGGCTCATTCATCTGCCGATTGCAAAATGTTGGCTGCTATCACATTAAAATTGTTATTTATATCATTTGACCGACCCGTAATAGCTCGCGTCCGTCTCAACGTAAAATAAACAAAAGTTAAACAAGAACGTAAAATAATAAAAGCAAAAATAAGAAAAAAATATTAAAATAATCTTTAAATTATATTTTGGAAAAATCGAGTTATGTTTTTGCAATAAACTCTAATGTGACGTGAACATTATCAGGCCTACACATTTTTAACTGTTCGAATTGGCACACGTGAAGCTCACACTGTGACAAGTAATAATGAGTTTTTCCCCCTTTAAAACTCTGCCCAAGATTAAGTGACAATGAATCATGTCTAAAAGCAAAGTATTGCAAAATTTGCGTTACAAACGAAACAGCGTATATTGATGTATATACTGTTTGCGTTGTTTGTTAAATGTTCAATTTATACGATTACACTGAGATTGAGTTAATGGTCTCAAGAAGCGACAGCTCGACATAAATTCACTTGAAGTGCGCATATTTCTGTAACTTTGTAATTTTTGAATAACGTCGTAACCAATTTGTGAAAAGAGAAAATTATTGGAACAATATCTTAATACGTTTTGCGAGAGAAGTATATACATGCTTTTTCGAGACACAACAACAGCAACCATTTTATTTCGTTTGATCAATTTATGAAAGTATAAAAAATGAGATATTATAATTTTTTCACATTGATATTAAAAAGTAATTCAAAACAAATTGCATTTCTAAATAATTTCAGATTCGCATATAAAATGTTGCAAAGATGCCACTAGCTCGAAATAGACAATGTGCCGGAATTTTACAGCGGCGTTTTAACGCGCCGGCACGTTACGTCACGACGATTACGCCATGCCTTTGTATAAAGAGCCCGCTACCTGCACGTCCGAAGCTCAGACACTCACAAAGCCTCGACAGGCGGTTTCAGCTGCCGTGAAAAACAAAAACTCAACGTACTCCCCCGTATAAAAAACCAACAAAACTTTGCTTATATTATTCGCATCCGGTGCGATTCACAGAGTAAACACATTTCGTGTTGCATCAACTTCTCCGTAACACTACATGATCTTTCGGACAAAATTTTCCACACATGTCAGAAAATACTATCAAAACTTCCTCGTAAGAATTCGCGTCGTACATTTGTTTTTTTTTTTTTTTTTTTTTTTTTCTACCGCAAGAGAAACAATTTTCAATTTACACCGTCGCGACATTGTGTAAACAGCACATCGTGTGTGATGAGAATTGTCTTGTAAATTCGTGTAAATTGGTTCTGTATACGTATGCACGTCGTGATCTCGCGATTTCTGTTCTCGTGGCTGTAAGTGGGAGAGGGAAATGCGTGTGTCGTTTCTTTGGGTTTGTGTTTGCGTACTTTATTATGATATGTACAGATGTAATTCGATTAGCGGAATGGCTCATCTCACTCCGTCCTTACCCGTCCCGCGTGACTTTTACGCGACGACTTTTCTCTTTCCGATCGTTCGCGGTTGCGGACATCTTGGCAGCCGACCGGTAAACACTTTTCCTTATCGCGCAACCGTGTCTGACTACGCGCTGGCGCACATCACTTACCGAAATCCGAAACCACCTTTCTCGAGTGACCGCAGGCCGTGGTCGTCACGAAGGATTTTGTATCGAGGAGAGACGCGGTCACTTTCTTTCTTTTTTTTCTTTCTCTCTCTCTCTCTCGCTCTCTTTCGTTTTTGTTCGCTTAGTCGATTAAACGGGAGACGGAGATCGCTCGATCGTACGGATCGAAGATACGAGACCTTACTACCGCGATAGGGATATTACGTCGATTTATCCTCGCGCTTTTCGTCGTCTTTCGTTCCCTTCTTGAAACTCTCTGACTAGGCTCTAATAAAAGACCCGAACGGGTCACAGTCTCTGGATAGGAGCTCTCATCGTGGTGGGAGCTTCGACAAGGAGTCAAAATAGATTACTGACCGGCCGAGGGATTAAAGCGCTAGGTTTCCGGTTGGATTAAAATCAACTTGAAACGACACTTTTTGAACGCAAAATAGCTGATGTTTCATATTTCGTAGGCGCATCTAAATTTCGCGTTCTCGAAAGAGCCAACGATGTGATATTTTTATGTCGCGTCTTACATAAGTCTCGTTTGAGAGTTGTATCATTTCAATGTATAAAAAAAAACTGCAGAGGACTCATTTTTGAATTAATTTTTTCAATAAATTTCTAATAAACTTATAACAAATCATTGAGTCAAAATATGATTTCAGCTCGCCAAGTGACTTCGATAAAACACAATGAAACAGATTTTGGCGGACAGATTGGCGTTGTCACAATATAATTTGCATTGCGTAGTTCCACGAGTGACGAACGACCGACTGTGATATTCCTCCGCGATCTCCTCCTCGATTTCTATTTTGATTCATCTAAATAAAGCCGAAAAGTGGCCCAGTTTTCTGCGCAACAAGCGAGACAACAGCGTAGAATTGTGACATTTGTTGTTATTATCATGGTTTTGATATTAAAAAAGAAGAGAACTAAAAACACATCTTTCTTTTATTGCGCCATTTCGCGTATTGTTTCGTAACATACACACGCGTCCATATAAATATATCGGTCGCGAGATGTATTTTTTTTTTTTTTTTTTTTAAAGATGCACATTGTACATGAAAAATTCATTATATGCAGATGTTTTGTAAAACTTTACATGCGCCGATTTTTCTCAGTCGAAGTCGGATCCTTGCATATGTATGTGTCCTTTCGCGCATCCCCCCATGGAAAAACCGGTTGAAGCTTAGAGAATTTTATTAATTGGAATTCACATGGTTGTTGGATCAACATTGATGGAATGCCTTGACAACGTTTTGTATATTTGGGTCAAGCGAGATTTCAGCCCGATTTCAGGTTTTTCGTAACGAAACAAGCAATGCCGCGTCGACGTAATAAAATGCCCGGCGGGATGATGTAGGATACCGTTTGCGCGAGATACGGCCTCACTCGTGAACCAGTGCCTTAAATGGACAGATCGATTACTTCGACGTCCCGGGAAAAAAAATGCGCTCTGCGATACAATCGGATTGCGCGCGATCGATTTGTGCAATCTTTTGATCTTGAATTCTATAAACTGCTAACAAGTGTTGCTTGCAATTTTTGTTTTTTTTATTTTCACAGTTTGCATTTTTACGATTTTGAAACTCTTCTCGCATTTTTGAAAACAAGTTTTCTTATCGAGTCATTTTCACGGGCACTGCATGAGCCACCGATATCTCGGCAGCGTCTCGCTTGTTTTTCTCCGTGAACCATATTCATACCGTTGCCGGTAAAGCAGATGTTCGCGGATAAACTCACTCTCCACTGCTCGGTCTGACGATTACCTACTTCGACTACTTTGGCGACTTTTCTTAACACCTAATGATAATTGTGCTTCTGACATTTACATTGTACCGTTTTATCTGCTCGTAGTTCAGTTTTAGTTTTTTCTTATTTTTTACTATAAACATATTATATATATTCTACTTTTATACGAAACGAAACTTACATTACAAAAAAGCAAAATAACTGTTCGACAGATTAATGAATTAGGACGCTCCGATTGTGTATTTATGATATAATGTTTTTGATCATCTTTCATAGTTTCTATTGAGTGACAAATAAATCCCATAAAAATTTCATTCCGCAATAAATCAACGAACAATGACCCGAATATAAAACGCAGAACAAACCTGTAAGACATTACACCAACCCTATTCTCAGAATAATTACTCGTTAAAATGTTCATTTCGTGATGAAACTTCTTACCACGTAGATAATATAAGAGAGTCAAAGTACCACAAATTTTTTACATAATAAGTAAACCGCGAGAACATTGCGCGTCCGGATTCATGCATAGTTGCATTGTGCTAATTGCGCCGTTTCCATCTGCAATGGAAAATAGCTCCATAAATACCTTACCTCGTCGCATGCGGCGCATCTCGGCTTAAGCTGTTCCGCGTAATGCCTCTCGCAGAAAAGCGTGTCGTCGTGCACGCAATAAGCGAGATCGACCAGGAGCTCTTTACAATCCGCGCATCTGAAGCACGCCGGGTGAAAGAGCAGGCCCACTTTGCTGGCTGACACAGCGAGGCTACTGTACTTCAGAGACGATCCACACACGCCGCAATCCTGAAAGACAAAGATAGGACGGTATTAACGAATCGTCGTCAGAGTGCTGTCGAACCAGAGATTTCGTCGTTATTGCACGGAATTAATGTCAACTTGACATCGCAATATTACGTATTTAATCCGAACCTATCCGTCAGATACTTACCAGACCTCGTTCAGAAATTTCCTGCACACTACCGATGTCCAGGGCGATCTCGTTCCTCGCGGCCATAAAATCGTCAGCGCTACTGGCGTCTTTGGGATTCAAGTGGCGACAATAAGCTCTCGCTAAGTCCTGTTTCGGCAACTGAATCGCCAACTGACGATCTCTGTGCCGCTCGCCGGGCGTCCCGAGTCTCGGTACAGAGATCTCCGGTAACATCGTGAAATATTCTTCTACCTGCGAAACAGACAATTGTGCTAATCAGTGTTCCACATTCGAACAAGTAAAACTAATATATAACGCGAGATATAAAAAAATATGTTGAAGTTTTTATTCACGGTGAACGTCGTCGTCTCTCTGCAACAAGTAACGGTTCTGACTACGGTAAATCAATCGGTTCTCACAAAGCACATTGTACCACATTGCGCATTGTATATAATATTCTTTTTTTTTTTCTGTCACGTGAGAACTCACGATTTTTCCTTCGCCGATATATTCTTTGACGGAAGGACGTGGAAATGAGGCGGACGCGATGCGGTTTCAATATCCGCGACCGCGATTATATTATAAAAAAAACATCGTAAATGCATCACGGTGCTGATGGGTCGTAAGTGGCGCAAGCTCATAAAAAAAAAAAAAAAAAAAAGAAAAAGAAAAAGAAAACGCAAGGGAACGTCTGCAATAAAGCAAACGTCAAACCAGCTCTAGGCTGTAAAATTTCACATCGGGATTTTTCGAAAAATATTGAAGGCTGGCGATGGGCCAAGATCGAGCTTGTCGGTCGTCAAACGTCGTGCACGTTGTCTATTTCGCTATGCACGCGCTACGCTCTTGCCTTTCTTCCGCCCACAACCACCCATTATTATCCTATTCGCTTCGCGGTATAAACCGCAAACGATCGTTTAGAAGAACCACCCTGTCCGTTGCACTTCGTGCCCGCGCGACGACAAACGCAATAAATGTTTTGCGACATTCGCAAATTACAATGCGATCTGCACGGTTGTATTCAACCAGAAGATTGAGGCTGTTTTTGTCTTTTTCCGCGCAATAAAAGACAAGATGAATATTTGTTTTGATACGAGGCTATTGAGATATCTAAGAGAATTTTTATTCTACGTTATAAAACCGTAATATATCTGTTTTTTTATTGGTTTTGTGGTAAATTATATGTTCAAGTGTTTGTTTGTTTTTTTTTTTATTCCTTTCTTTTTTTATCATTTTTTAATTACACTCGTTTTGCCGTGTTACATCACGGGATTTTAATTGCTGCACTTCTATCCAGATGCAATTAACAAATTAAATTACGTAACTGGATGATCTTCTTTTCATTCTTACGTACAAAATACATTTTAAATAATGTATTTTGTATCTTTGATATGAAATCACATGAGAGAAATAAAACGAGAAAAAGAAAACTACCTTATGCCATGGGAGTCCAGGAGGTGCCCAGGCGAGGCCTTTTTCTCTGGGATCCACACTGATCGGCCCGCTCGACTCGTCGCCTTTAAGTCCCAACCGCGATCTGACGGACACCCATTCTTCGTGGCAGACATCGTGGTTCTCTCGTGGACATTTGCAGCGGGCGCAATTTTTTCTGAAAAAAATAAGTATTCAATGTGAAATCAAAAAAAGGTTTATTACGATTTTGCGACTCAATTAAGACACTTGATGAAATTTTGCCGCGTTTAAGATGAGAAATTTTCTGATAAATATTTGCCCTGCTTCGTTCATTAACTTCGAACACGTTGTGATGAGGCGTCCAATAAACTTTTATTACCTTTATACGTCGCGCTCGCATGAGCCGATAATCGCCTAATTAGGCAGGGCGCCAATGATTTCTTTTTGTATGCTCGTCATACTTTCTCTCTGAGCCTATTTATTTTTTTGTTATGTCGTCGCACACGGTTGGTCTTTCGACAGACATCGCATTTACTAATTAATGTCTCGTTGCGCGCTAAGCGCCGCTATTCTATTAATTAATTAAATGAAACGTCGGTAAAGCGTGGAAACGGTGTTAATTAAATAACTCGTTATAAAAAAAAGTCGTCGCGAGTTGACGAAAAACGATTTATGTCTATGAAGGTTACAAGAAAAATGCGAAATAAAAAAAACGAGAAAAAATAAATTTATATAAATTCGTCCGCGTCAACATTTGTATTAAAAATCAAATATGTAAAGAAAGTCCTTAGTAGATTTGCATCATTCTTTATTTCGAAATATTTTCTGCGGTGTTTTGTGACAACCGATAATTGATGAGTCGTACAAATCGACACGAATATGTAATGCTGTGTGAATGAAAAGCGAGAAATTAACATAAAGTAAGTATAACATAGTCGCGGCAAAAAAATGCGAAAGATATCGATGTGGGTGCGACAGGAAATTTTCCTCGTGAAAAGAGCGTGTGCGAGGACCCCGGGTCGATATCGGCACCGCCACGTATCGAACGGCGATCGTATAATCAAGAGAGGGATGCATTTGCGGCGGACATGTATATCGCGGCTTTACCGCACCCTTCCGGATATCGGTCTCAAGGCCATCGAGACTCTCGGCGCTAATGCGAGGATGGCCTTTTCTACCCTAAAAGCTGTATATGCACGTTTTTTCTACGTACGTGATAGCGATCGGATTAGAAATTATCGCGTAACAATAGGAATCAAGGTTTTCTTTGTCATTTTTCATTCCAGTTCTTCTTTTTACTTTAGAATGTTCTAGTTTAAAAATTGCACTTTTGTTGTTAGAAACCAGCATTTTTGTAATTTGTAAAATATATAAAATGTAATTGTGATATTTGCAAGATATATAAAATATTGCGTCAAAGTGATACGAGAGAAAATAGTTTTTTTTTTTTTTTCACGTAATGATAAACAATTTTGTCAAGAATTATAACCTGAATTTTGCAAGTTAAATATTGCATATCTTGCATCAAATATATTTTATTTTGGAATCATAGAAAATAATATCCCGCATAAAAACTCGAATATCTCTTGCCGTACTTTCCTTCTTTTTCGTTTTAGAAAACGTCTCTCCGAGGGCGTATCAGCGGGCACTTCTGTAATGTCACACCGATAAATGTCAGTCGCGCAATTATCCTGTTTATCAGCGAACCATAACTCGGTCTCACACGAAGAGTCTCCCGCGCTATAAAGAAAAAAAAAAGTCTCGACGGTAGATCCTGACGGGCGTTTATTCGCCTCTTTTCCCGACGTACTCTCTCTCGTTACCGCCTGATCAAATCTTACACCTTGTCGGACGCGCTTCGATACTTTACGCGAGGCTGAATGCAAATTAACGTTGACGTCTCGTTAATTCGACGTGTGTAACGTTATACTCGCGCGTCGATCGTAACTCGCTCGAACTCGCGTCGACGATCGGCCGCGCGCATACGAGAGCGTTTACCGTCATCGATACGAAGCGTAATACTCCGAGGTTTTCTTTTATTTTTAAGTCTCACCTTATGCGGGAAGACCAGACGTGTTGAATGAGTCATCAGAAGAAATAAAACAAAAAGTACAGATATTAAATAGATTTTTGTCAAGTATCAAACGGTATCTGTTATAATTTTTACAAAATGACGCGATAATGAACGTTAAAGGTGTCGTACGAGACGCGATCGTGAGTTTGTTTGACTTCAATCATAAAGAATTGTAATAAACGTTTTTGCGAATTTTTGAGAATTCATTATCCGCTTGCGATAATATATCTCGCGCGACTCATCCGGTTTACTTTATGATTCAGTAACACAGGAACTTTATTTCGGGGTCGTATGTATCAGGTGTGTCCGATATCGATACGGTAAATTAATTTTACAAGTTGGAGGCGTGACGTGCGAAACAGCGCAATAAATTCCACGAGAGATTCGTTTGGTTTTTTCTTTTGTTTCTTTTTTTTTTTTTTTTTTTGCAGAAGCGTATAAGAGACGTCGGGAACGCGCAAAGAAGAAAAAGCGCGAAAGTCGATCCATCGCGATGCAAAAAGGAATGGAAAAACGCGACACATGCCACGCCGTCGTCTTATATTAAGTCGTGTAGCTAAGCGCGAAGAAAAGGGAGAGAGAGAAAGAGAGAGAGGCAACATCTCGTGTTATAAAAGGATTCGCTTGATACAATTTAAATAAAAAACAAATAAATGTGCTAGATTGAAATAAACTGACTTCCAAAACGTGATTTCAGAGTTTTTGTTCACGCGCGGGATAAAATAATTCTGTACTTTTTGTAATTAAAGTGAAACCCACAATAACAACGACAAGAAGAGATAAGAGAGGCCGCGTGTGTTCTAATAAAATCTGGTGTACAGACATAGCCGCGCGAAAAATCAACTTCGTTAACCTACAAACGTAGACCGATGTAAATCACTCGGTCAGGTTTGGCTTGGCGCTGCTTTCTCGTCGTTTTCCGTCGTAAAGCAGTCAGTATTACACAGGCTTTGTCTAATTGATACTAATGGCGGCTAATTGCGTTCGCGCTGCCTTCATTGGCTCGCCGGAATGTTGGCGATCTCTTATAAGTCTTGACGATGTTCAGTTGAATTTGCGTGAGAACCTTTTGCAAACAAATTTATCAAACATACTTTGAATTTAACGGAATTCAAGTTTCGTCTGACTGAATTTGGAATATTTCCAAAATTTCTCACTTTTGGAACTCTCGGCGTTTTTTGTTTTAAGAATTACGTACACTCTAACGGCCGCAAATTACCTAACGATCAGCTCAAACAGCTCGAATTGGTCGAACACTTTGCAATAGAGATGCAACACCCTGACGCAGGCCCACTTCATGCCGGGCCACGGGGCCAGGCTGAGATCCAGACCGTCCTCGAGAGGACACTTGCCGATCGCCATGCTTCGCCGAAGCTCCGCGCCGGTGATGGTCGGGAATCGGTTCTTCCGGTCCAGCATCGGGTTCCGTCTGCGAGCCTGCAGCGGCTCCGTGGAAGCGGAAATGAGGCCCCGCTTGATCTCCGCGCCAGACAGAGTGGGGTACCGATCCCGCCGATCCAGGGACGCGGTTTTCCGGTAGTAGTCTTTCTCGGATACGGACGGGCACCTGATGGCGCGCATCATCGGCTCGAGAACGGGCGGGCTCATGGGTCGTTTCTTCGGTTCTGGTATACGCACGCGGACGCCCTGCGGCTCGGCGCCCGGCGTCGGCACGCACGACACCCGCACCTCCATCTTCGGGCTGTCCTGACTGCCGGGCCCCTTCGGGCTCATTCTCGTCGGGCCCGGCCCCGACAGCAGGGTCGGCGTCGTGTGACGCCTCTGCAGTCGCTCGCTCAGGATGACGGCTCACCGCTTCGCATCGCGCTTCCCTAATTTCTCGCTTCGTCGCCTTCGTCCTCGTCGTCGTCCAAGGTACTCGTTCCGAAATTGGATACGTCCACCTCGCGGCCGTTCGACGCGATTAATCGATTTTCACTGTCTTCGAAATAACAAGACAGTTTATGACAGTTCGTGAAAGATCGTGTTTGTTTCGCTCGACAACATCGAGAGAAGAGACGTTTGACGCGCGGATAATATATTCTTCTTCAATTATATTCAAGGACTATATCAAGTATATCTAGTCACATGTTTGCGAAACAGCGAATTAGTAAGCAAATAATTTATTTGTAAACTATAAACTTGGCAATGTATCTCTTGGAAAATAAACCTGCGTAAGATTATAATAAGAGACGCGAGCAAGTGTTACAAAGTATTTCCGAAAGTGCGAAACACACAGAAACTCTGCTCTCAATGAGAAATCACACACATGTCTTTACATATTTCTGAATTTGTTTAAATCGAGCTTGTTGGGGGATATCTCGTTTGATATCGCGCGAATCGACGCGGCGATACGACTTATATAAAAGAAAGTGAAAGTAATGAACACGTGGAAGAGTGCATATACATCTGCATTATCTCGATCGCGGAACATATCGACGAATATTTCAGCAGGTCTGGTTTCTCTCCGCGTTAAAACGAGAGACACGCGGACATAATAACGCAAACACCGTGTCGACGTCGTACATCGGCGAGCGTGGTTTATAATTTAGGCAAATCGATATTCACGGTTTATTTTACGATCGGACGGCGAGTGGGTGCCGGCTGTCTTCGCAAAAATAATTGCAACACACGCTATGCGTCCGTCGTAACTGAAGATGCACGACGAGCGAGTGAAACGCGACCGCTCGCTTGCTCGCTCGCTCGCTCGCGCTCGCGTACATATCGTTCAATTTATTTTCATTGCGGAAATCGCCGCGATTCACAGTCGTCCGGTTATTTATAGGGAGGAAAGATCGTCGGCCCCTCGTCCCGCCCGGTCCCGGCCAGCGAAAAAGGATTCCCCCCCCGGAGGAGCAGAGATCGAAACCTACTCGACATCAAAGACGAATATCGTCAGTCACGAGGCTGACTGCCGGCCAAGTTAATAACTGGCCGTTTATTTGACGTTTCGAGAGTAGCCTCGTTTGATCAGTTTCATCCTTCTCTCTCGCTCTTCCTCTTTTTCTCTCTTTCTCTTCGTATCAGCGCGATTTTCAATCGAACCGACTCGCACGGATCGAGCAGTGACTCGACGGTGAAAAATCTCGCGAACTTCGAGTCGGAAACTTCATATTCTAGAT